CGGCTCAGGGGTTGTGTGCAGGCAGCCCCTGGAGACAGTCCTGGCTGTCCTCGACGGCCTCCCAGGCTCTTCCGCGGTGGTACCAGCCTCCGGCGGCGCCCCTGGGCGCTTCGCTCACCTTGGACCAACCAGCCACAACTTGGGGAGCTGTGCTCCTCACTCCCTGGGGGAACCTATCGTAGGGGCGATCTCTCTAGAGGGGTGGCGAAGCCGATGGGCCTCGAGGGGTGCACGGGCCGCAGCTCCCCAAGCCATGGCTGGTTTGCTGGACCATACCCCAGGGTCCCGCTGAGGCTGGCCTGGGCTGCCTCCAGATTGGGGGATGACTGTGCGCAGCCCGCCAAGCCCTGCCGTTCGAGTAGGGGATCGACTAGAGAATTCTCATGCCCCATAATTTGTCCGTTCGGCAAGTCTACGAAAGATGCGTCGAAAGCTCCATTGATCCACATAACATTCTGTGTATTTGTTGCAGATCCGACGAAACAGGTAGTCGATCCCCTGCTCGAGCCGTGGAGGAGTGCGCCTGCAACATAAGCACGGTCTTCCTGTCGAGCGACGACCCCGGCGCCGCGGCGGAGATGCGGACACTGCTCGGGCGCGTCCGCGCGCCGCCCGCGCGCCGCCCGCGCGCCCCCTCGGGGGTGGGCGGCCACGGCCGGGTGTGGCGGCCACCGTCATCGCCTGACGGGCTGCAGGTTTCGCACTGCTGCTGCTGCTGCTGCTGCTGCTGCTGCTGCTGCTGCTGCTGCTGCTGTCCGTATTCCTCCTCGTGCTTCTTTGATCCCAATCCTCGTCCTCTTCCTCATCTGCCCCTCCATTGGTCCTCGACCCCAGCCTCATCTTGCTCATTCTTTCTCCCTCCGCTCCCTCCTGCTGCTCCTCTTCTTCCGCATCCTTCTCCGCCTCGTCGCTCTCCCTTGTTGCCGCCTCCCCAGTTTCGCTCTCTACAGGCCAGCCTTCGCTGCCACGTGCAAGCCCAGCTGCCGGGCCTACGGCAAGTTTACTCCTTCCCTCAACTCCCAGTTCAGGAGGGAACGAGTGTGGGAAAGGGGGAGAGGAAATGCCAGAAGCTAGGGACAGATATGGGACATCCTGGGATTTGCGTAGCTTCACTCGTGTTCCCCTGAATCCCCTTACCTGCCCCCCCCTGCCCATCCCTCCTGCTCTGCTCCTCCTGCCTGCGATCCCCTGTCCGCGGCGCGCGCAGAGCTGCTCCCCGGGGGGGTGGGGGGGCGGCCGCCGCGCGCGGCGCGGGCCCCACTGGTAGCCACCGTTAGGACGTTTCCGTTGCCGCCTTCTCCTCGTGGAGCCAGCTGGGGTGGCCCAGCACCGGTTCCGACCAGCGGGGAGGGGGGTGCAGGTTCGAGCTGCTGGGTTGGAGGAAGTTTTTGCGTGTTTCGGTGAGGTCGTGTTTGGGACCCGGGACAGTCATAGATTGGTCTGGGGTGACAAGTTACACCCGATGGATTGCGGGAGGGGTCTGGGGATCGATTTCGAGCGGATGGCGACGTCCCCCCTTGCTGACAGATTTTTCTGGGCTCTGATCCCGGGCGGCCTCCAATCCTCCTCCGCCTCCTCCTCCTCCTGCTCGCCTGGAGACGGGGCCTTTCTGCGTGGCACCGTCCTCGGCTCGGCGCGCGTGCGCTTTCGGAAGGCGCGCGGCAGCCTGACTCGCCCCCCCCGCCGCCGCCCGTCCCGCCCTGCGCTGCGCCGCCTCCCCTGGCCCCCGCCCCTGGGCCTCCAACGCAATGGCGTGCGCAGCGCCCCGCGGAAGGGCATCGGCCCCAGAATTCACCGACCAGCCGAGGGGGGCCCGGCCTCGCAGTTTCTGGCTTGGCGCCGGTTTTCTCTTCCGTGCCGCACCGCGCTGGGGCCCACGCCGTCTCCGCCCCCGAGCCCTGGATTCTTCGGGAGAGTCCCTCAGGGGAGAACCCACCGACCTCGACGTGAGCACTCGTTGTGGTTGCGGTCGATTTGGCTGCCCTGGGATGCCACATCCACCACAACCAGTACGAAGCAGCTGGTTTCGGTGCTCCGATCAGTTTTGGGCATGCGCAAGACGTCCCCTAGGGTGTGTCCTCGATGCGGTTGTGGTCGCTTGCTGTTCCCGCACGAGTGTCGGGGCAGGCTCGCGGCTTGGGGGGCCGTCCCCGCTGCAGCGCACCGGGGCAGTGCGGCCAGCGAGCTCTCGCCGGACGCGAGCATTTTCGCAGCTTCTGCACTGCGCTCGTGGTCCTCCGGACACGTGCTGGCCCCATGGGGCGCTCACCCCGCTCAGTTCCGCCGATAAACGTGCGGCCCGTGTCGGCCCTCAGTGTACAGCCTGCGGCGTCTTGAAGGGCTTCGGTGGGCAAGCACACGTGGCCGCTAACACGGGTTCTGATGATCCTCGATGAGCAGAAGCTGGCCTCATGTTGGACGGGGTACAGGACGAGAGTAAATCCGTTTCAGGGCGTTCCACGCCGTCCTCAGAGCGTTCGGAACGCTCTGAGAAGGCCGC